ATAAAAAGACTGCAAATGACCAGCTGCCTGCAAGGAGTTATCAATCCCTCCATTCCTCACCATCCAGTCAGAAGGCTCCACACCCATTTGCCTCACTCAAGTGACCCTGAGGACACAGATAAACCTCCAAGTGGCCTAAGGACCCTCTAAAAGGATGCAAATGACCAGCTGTCTGAAAGGAGTATCAACCCTTCCATCCTCAACCATTCGGTCAGAACTGAAGAAGCTTCTTGGAGGAGAAGCGAAACGTCTTCAAAGAAAAACAACCCAGGTGGCTTTTGAAAAAAGTACCTTGGGGACAACTGTGACTGATTATCTCCAAGGACGCCAGTTGTATCGTGGGGGGGGGGGATTTCTGTAGCGTTTCCTGCGTGCAGCTGAGGGTTTAAGGGGTTCCCCAGGCAGAGCCCACCCACCCCCGCATCCCCCTGAACCTACGTGGGCTCTCCCAAGCGCATGGTGCCATCAGCTCGGCAGACGATCTCGCTGCGGGCGCCGTCCATGAACTGGGCCAGCCAGCCGATGCTGCCCATGAAGAAGCAGGCGTTGACATAGAAGAGGATCACAGCGGGGTAGCGGTTCGAATTCTTCCAGTCGGCTAAGAAGGTGGCCTGGAGAGGGGAAAGCAGACCGAGTCGGGTGAGATTGGGGGGTTTTTTTTCGGCCATCCTGCGCCTCCCAGGTGCGCCGGCAGCTAGAATTCTGGGCATTGAAAACTCGGCACACTTGGAGGACACAGAATACAAGCTTTGAAAGGTAAAGTAGAATGACCGGGAAAAGGGGTAAACCCAGTTGGGCCTAGTGGTAAAAGCACCGGGCTAGAATCCAGGAGATTGGGAATTCTAGTCCCGCCTTAGGCAGGAAAGCCAGCTGGGTGACTTTGGGCCAATCACCAGGAGACGGGGAGTTCTAGTCCCGCCTTACGCAGGAAAGCTGGCGGGGTGACTTTGGGCCAATCACCAGGAGACTGGGAGTTCTAGTCCCGCCTTAGGCAGGAAAGCTGGCTGGGTGACTTCGGGCCAATCACCAGTGGACTGGGAGTTCTGGTTCCGCCTTAGGCATGAAAATTGGCTGGGTGACTTTGGGCCAGTTACCAGGAGATGGTGAGTTCTAGTCCCACCTTAGGCACAAAAGATGGCAGGGTGACTTTGGGCTAATAACCAGCAGATGGCGAGTTCTAGTTCCGCCTTAGGCATGAAATTTGGCTGGGTAAATTTGGACGTCTGCAAGAAAACCATCAAACCCAGAAAGCACCTCCTCCTTCTCCCCCTTCATTGCTCCTCCTCTTCCTCCTCCAGCCCCACTCCTTTCTAGCACTGATGATGTTCCCTAGTTGGGTCATGAGATGTCTGCGAGAAAACCCCCCAGTTCAGAGACCACCAAGGACCCCACAGCTCAACCCTGGGCTGCAAATGTTCTCTTCTGCTCACCAGGGTGAAAAAGGTGCAAAAAATGGTGACCGAACTGAAGGCGGCGATGTAGATGTGCATCTCGCGATGTTCCTTCTGGGTGAAAAGGGGGTTCTGGCATTGGATCCCACAACCTTCCACATCCTCGTACCAACTCTTGGGGTTGTTGGTCTGCACCAGGGGGGCTTCGCATCGCCCCGAGCTGTTGAATTTAATGTTCTGGACTTCGTTCTGGGAGAAACGAGGAGAGGGTTCCCTTAGTTATTGCAAGAACGGTCGTAAATGTGAAAAGAAAAAACGTTCGTAAGTCCCAAAGGTGTCTTTTTTTCCAAGAGCCAACTGGACTTTCTGGTTTTTCTTTGAAGACGTTTCGCTTCTCATCCAAGAAGCTTCTTTAGCTCTGACTGGATGGTGGGGAAGGGAAGGATACTCTTTCAAGACAGCTGGTCATTTGCGTCCTTTTCGAGGGCCGTTGAGGCACCTTGGAGGTTTATCTGTGCACTCAGGATCATCTGAGTAGTGCAAATGGGTGTGGAGCCTTCTTGGAATTGCACGATCCTTTTACTCTACACCCATTTGCACTACTCAGGTGTGACCCTGAGGACAGAGATAAACCTCCAAGTGGTCTCAATGGCCCTCTAAAAAGGATGCAAATTACCAGCTGTCTGCAAGGAGTATCAATCTTTCCATTCCACACCATCCAGTCAGAAGGTTCCACACCCATTAGCACTACTCAGGTGTGACCCTGAGGACACAGATAAACCTCCAAGTGGCCTTAACGACCCT